AATGTTCAAACCACTACACCACACGGGCTCATAATCCTTTACCCAAATACATGGAGCCTTACCAGCAGAAGGTTTATATTAAACTGGCCACAGCAATAGGGACAAAATGATGGCATGAAATAGTTCTGATTGACCTCAGTGCAGGGACTATCCTCATCAGTGAAACACATAGGCGTTCATACCTTAAAGGCTAGCAACTTGTCTTAGAAAAAAGCTGCCTGATATCATTGTTCTTTCTAGCTTGATATTTTCTATGTTGGTCTTTAAGCAGAGGCTGGATGGCCATCTGTCAGGGATGCTTTGATTGGGAGTTCCTGCATGGCAGGGGGTTGGACTGGATGGCCCTTGTGGTCTCTTCCAACTCTATGATTCTATGACTGGAAGCATTCCTGTAGGGTTTCAGAAAGGAGTTTCTTCTTGCTCAGACTGGGGATATCAGGGATTGAACCTGCAAACTTTGGCATGCAAATCATAAGATCTACTGGAACAACGATACCCCTTTCTCCCAGCCTGTGCCAATCTGGGGTAGCACAGTTGCACAATGGCATTCTATGGTTTCAGATAAGAGTCTTTCCAAGCCCCACAAGAGATTGAACCTGGAACCTTTTCAATACAAAGCATGTGGCATACTGGAGGACTTTTCCAAAGCATCAGTTTGGGGTAGAAAAGTCCCATAAGGTCCATTTTTAGTTTCTGAGATAAGTCCTTCCAGGAACAGCCATGGATTGAACTAGGGCCTTTCTGCATGTAATGCATGTGTTCTGCCACTGAACTACATCCCCTCATCAGTTTCACTCTCCGTCTTTATTTGCAGCAATAACACCAGAATATTCATGCATTATATACATAAACCACACACACACATAGCCATTCCAGTTTGGAGTGATGTAATTTATTTATTTAATCCACAAATAGTTAGGCAATACCTCAGATTCAATCTTGCTATGCAAGCAACTTCACAAACTACCTATAATAGTCAGAAGGTAAAAAAAATACCATGGGTATGAAATGCCATGGTAAATTACAGTTTGAAATAGATTACACGTGATGTCGGAGGTGCTGGATGCAACCATCTGCAAGCCCATTAAAAAAAAAAAGTGCATGAGGATTGTTGCACTTAAACAGGGTTTACATGGAAAAGTCCCATACAGTATGCACATGGCTCTGGAGTCCAATGCCTAATAACCACCACTTTGATGCTTAACAACCAGTTATTTCATTTCCTTCATGACTCGTTAATTTAGTCCTCTCAGCTCTCCATTAAGAACAGAGTTGACATTCCAAGTCCTAAATTCAAAATTCAAAAAATGAAGAAAATATAGATTTTCTCCCTCTCTTTGCTTCCCTAATTAAGTACAAAAATGCACACAATCAATTCATGTCCCATTTGGACATGCAGAAACACAAACCATTAACCTTGCATTTTCAAAGCAATGTAATTCAGTTTTGCTGTGATGGTATAAATAGATGGTTATGTTCCAGTGCAGACTTCTGAGATGATAAACCCCTTCGTGGATGCTTGCTTGCTCATCAGGGTAGAAGACTGTTGTTTTTTGGTCTTTGCTATCAATGTAGCCGATGCCTTCAAATTCATTCTACACTTATGATTCCACAGTCAGCATAGCCTCAATTGCTTAAAATTACTCCCATATTTGCATCATAAATCTTACTGATTTTCTTTTCCATGAAGCATGCATAGTTGCATGAGGAAAGAAATATTTTATGCATTCTGCCTGAATTAGTCTTAAATCGCAATACATTGTCTTCTAAATAACGTACAAACCCTAGGCATAATCCAGCTAAAGTCCCATTGGCTTTTGCTGGAGTGGGTTTTTAAGCCCATGTCATTCAGATCAATAGGATCTGAAAGTGCTCCAGATCAGCAGGATCATGCCCATTTTAAAAACAGAAAAGTCATTATTTCTCATAAAACAAAATCAGTTAAGTTAAAATGCTTCCACAATACACGTTTTCAACTCAAATATTCCACATATACCAAAAAGAACAAGCCCACAGCTACAGAAATACAGTTCTTTAATTAAAGGCTGAATTATGGTCAAAAAGGAAGTGTGTGTGTGTGAGTGTGTGTGTGTGTGTAAATGGGAGTCTAAAAATAGAAAAAAACTTCATATGGGACATTGAATCAGAATGTTTTTAACACTGCAAAAGGCTGCAATATGAGCTCTGTTTTTATGACAAAACTCCTCAAAGAAAATGGTATGAGGAGATGCCAGAAAGAGAGAGAGGAAAACAAATACTGCACCAAGAGGCATGCATACAATCGCTATGGTCATTCAATGCATTAGCGATTTATTTCTAGATGGTGGCATAACACAAGAATGAGGCAGTGTTTTCAAAATCAGACCAAGTCAATGGCTACAGGTTGATCAGGCTTTCTGAGGCAGCAAAGTGGGGGCACAGGGCCATATTCGGATTTTGGAGCTGTTTGATGATTTGCTTGTGAAATTTCTCTCGCACGCGGTTGAACTCCATGATGTCCAGTGGGTCCTCTTCAATCCAGAATTTATGGAATTCATGCATCAAATAGCCTAAGAGAGCAAGGTAATAGGTTATAAATACAGGTAAAAATGATGCCTTATTGTCCATTAATTGATAAAGAGTCAGTGTGGGGTTGGAATTAAGAGTTGGAGAAATTCAAGGTTCCAAATCTCCATTGAGCCATGAAACTACTGTGTAATATTGGACTGGCTAGTCTCTTTCTCAGCCTGCTCTCCTAATGGGGATATTGTGAAGATAAAATGAAGAAGGGAAGGAGAACCAGTTATGCCACTATGAGCTCATTGGAGGAAAGTGAGAATATGAATATAATAAATGAATACATATATACAGCCTCAGTTGTTGTCTTTATTGTTGCATGCTTTTCAAGCCATTTTCAACTCATGGTGACCCTAAGGCAAACCTATCACAGGGGGTTCTTGGTAAGATTTCTTCAGAGGTGGTTTGTCATTGCCTTCCTCTGAGGCTGAGAGAGTGTAAGTTGCCCAAGGTCACCCAGTAGGTTTCCATGGCTGAGCGGGGATTTGAACCCTCGTCTCAAGAGTCCTCCTCCAATACTCAACCACTGTGTTATGGGGTTTTTCTAGCTTTATAGTTCTGGCCAAATTAATACATGTTTCACATTTGAAACTTTTATACATGCCACATGTGTCTGTGTATATTATTAAATAGCCCCTTCATTGATAATAATTTTGCAAAAGAAGAAAGTTTATGATCAGCAGTTATAACTTTCTGTTTTTCTACACCTTATGTGCATCCCATTATAAAACAGTCACACCATCCCTCCATATATTTCAGGCACGGGATGGGGTGTTGTTGTATTGTTTTAAAGTATTTTTAATATTTTTATCTTTTTAATTGTATTTTATTCTTTTGACATGTAACTTGTTTTAATACTGTAATAATTTAATTCTATTTTAATGTACTATTTTTGTATGCTTTTAATTGTACTGTTTTTTAATGTTGTGAGCCACCCTGAATCCCAGTTTTGGGAAAAGGATGGGATATAAATAAATAAATATAATAAATAAAATAAATAATAGATATATGTACTATAATTTTAGATGAACAGAGAGGGGCAGTCCAATTTACTACAGTGCCTGAAGCATCAGCAATGTAGCTTCTTTATTGAAGTTGGAAGCTGAGACCCACATAGGCAAGCACACCAGAAGCCAAAGGGAACAAATGAATGCAAACGCAGCCAGAATTTGACCTAATAATTGCAAGGCCAAATTAGTCCAGCTATCATTCTTTCCTCCATAAGAAAGAGAGCTTGCTGCAATTCAGACACCCAGCCCAAGGGCATTAAAAGAAATAAACCATCTAAAATTTGCTCCCTTTCTCTCCCAGTGACCTCAGCTGCACTGCTTAGTGTGAACCAAGCAACAGTCATAACAATAGTACAGGAATCAGGGGGAAATGCTATGGTGGTGGGATGGCATGGAAATAATTTGTGTTGGAAAATGACTTAGAAAAGCATCTCTTTGCCCAGGAGAACTCCTTTTAAATCATGGCTGAGAAACCTTTAGTCTTCAAGATATTCTGAACTACAAATCCTTTTTTGTTGTTGTGTACCTCCTTCAATCCCTTATCATTGGCCAGTGCTGGATGAGACTGTGATGAGTGCTGGATGAGACTACTTACACTGGGTGGATGGGGGATGGAATTGGTTTAACTGCTGTCTTGTTTTAACTCTGTACGCCGCCCCAATTGCTTAGCAGAGGGATGGGTTAAAAATAAAATTTATTATTATTTATTATTATTAAACCTAATTAATGGGTGAAGCTTTCTCACTCATGTTTTAAATAAAACCCCATCAAACTACTCCCTGGGTAGAAATCCTTATGAAGAGTCTCACAAGATTCTATACAAGACTATAATAAGTTCTGTTTAGTGTTGGATCTTCAACAACAAACTGGGATTCTGAACAATGAATGTTGAGAGCTGTTGGGATGTATCCATCACAGTATCCATGTATGTTCTTTAATACAACGTGTAGTAAAAATGGTTAAGAATAATTACTCAACCCACCCACTTTTCCTGGGGTTAATTTTTATTATGTATAGTAAGGACTATGTATCATTGCAGTAAAAGTAGAAAATGGAAGACACTGGGGCAACAGTGTGTGTGAGAGAGAGTGAGTGAGTGAAGTCCTCTGTCAACTTATTACAGTGTCATGAATTTCATAGGGGTTGTTTAGGAAAGGAATACTCAGATGAGGTGTTTCCCATTTATCCCTGTTTTTCAGTTCAAGAGTACACCAGCCAGACAACTTATGCCTCAATATGGAATGGCATATATGGCAATACCAACATATTTTATCAAGTTTTTGTTAAATAATAGAGACATGTTGATTTCAGATACAGTGAGCATTTCTTTCAATACATCTGTGGGTGCTTTGCTGCTCTTGAAAATTGGAAGCAAGAGCAATTACGCTGGGTAAACTTGAATTTTGAATTAGTTTTCAAGGTTGGTCTAAATTATTTGGCTTCTTGAAACAGGAAAATGTGCTGCCTCCTTCCTAGTACATATACAGAAGAATCTGATTGAGCTATCATCTGAACTTTGTTTCACTACAGGTTAGAAGATGGTGTTCTCCATCACACCCAAGTCAGTGGACTATTTTAGAACATGCAGGACAGGTTCATGGTACACACAGCTAGCAGACCATCACTGCTGCTCATCAGCATTGATTGCTCCACTCTGTCTAACAGGAAAGTTGATTCTGCCACTCTTCACCAGGTCCTTTAGAGGTCTTCCTCTTAGGCTCTTCTAATTCCAATTCCCAGCTCAGCTGTGAAACCCATTGGGTGACCTTGGGCAAGTTACACTCTCACAGCCTCAGGGGAAGGCAATGGCAAACCTTCTTTGAACAAAGCTTGCCAAGAAAACTCTGTAATAGGTTCGCCTTAGTAAGTCAGAAATGGCTTGAACGGAATACAACAATAAAGATAGCAGCTGAGGCTGTATATGTGTATTCATTTATTATATTCATATTCTCACTTTCCTCCAATGAACTCATAGTGTCGTAATTGGTCTACTTCCCTTCCTCATTTTACCTTCACAACATTGTGGCTGTGGTTACTTGGAGACAGTCTACATTTGCAATGGGCAATGGCCAATAGTTCCTTTTATATGAGATTATCAGGTGTCTTACAAAGCAGATTGATTCACCCATTTTTATCCTAAGATGGTTGTGTCAAATTTAACAGAAGGTGGCAGCCACCATTAAGACAGTGAATTCCCATTCACAAAACACAGTCCT